AAAAATTGCTCTGTAGAATCAATAGATTGACAGCTAAAAAACCCAACAAGATCAAGTACTGCACTGAAGGAATGGCAAGCTTGTACTGGAACACGACAACCCACTTTAGAAACTGCTGTTCTGCATAGGAAACTGCAGGCATCACTGGAGACGTATGGAACATGTCTGTGGGCCTGCCTTCAGCAGAGAACTGTTCCATCGTAACAGCCTGCTGTAATGTGTACGCTGCACTATTTTCTACAGTAATTAACCCTGTAGTAATGAACCCTGTGGGATTTCTGCTGGAGAATACTTTTGGTCCTCCACAAATGCCACCAAGAGATTCAAAACGGAGCTCAAAGTAAGCAAAAGCAGTTGAAAACGGGGCACTTAAAGGATAAACAGGACTGTAATAACTTGAATTTACACATTTATTATTTTTATCAAATAGATCCTTAGCAACTCCTATTGATACGTAACACTAGTCTTCCTGTCTTATTTTTCTATTTATTCAAGCAAAGATGCTTCTATTATACAGAGATCAGAGCCTGAGTCTGCATGTCACATCCACAGTAACAAAAAGAATAACTAGTGCGACTCTCTCATGTGTGGAACATCTACTTTATAAACACAGTTTAAGTTCACAAGCTGCACACAAGGAAGTGAACAGGGCTGGAATATCTTGGGAGCTTAGCCCTGGAAAAGACACAGCATAGTTGCATACTTTCTAGCTGAATAAACTACTCATGCAGATTTATCAACCAATTTTTCCTAGATTGCTTATCAGTCAATTACCAAGAAACCGAGTCACACAGCAAAGTAAAAACAAACCAAATAAACAATACAACACCAAGAAAAACCTTAATTTTAGGAGATGCATTAGCAAATACTAAAACTGATCAATCCTATAAACACATAACCAGGAGCAGAGAAGGAAGAAACTAGTCTGTAGTGATCTCATGTTAAGACTTTTTTTGCCAATTATGATTCAAAAGCTCACTGTGGATCAAGTGAATATTTAATAGAGTAGCATTTGACAAATGTATAGCTGCGAGACAAAATGATCCAGGTGATATTCCTATCTGTAACTATTAGTATGATCCTTGAAATATGAATACTTAAGCCTCATGATACTGAAGTTTTTAATAACAAACATGATAAGGCATAACAGTAATACAACTAAGGCTAACAGGTTTTTACTTAAATCTTTGGCTTGGTTTCTACTTGCTAAGGTTCCAACAACAACCCTCTACTGCTAGATTTCTGAGAACACATTCTTTCTTACAGGGTTGGTTACTTTTTCAATTATCAAGGGAAGGAATTAATCTGCTTCCTTAAAGTAGAGCCAATGAGCCTTTCTAGTAATGGCCAATTAGAAAAGATTCACTTTCCACTTCATGATAAACTAGACATTTATGGTTTTGTCATGACTGCCTCCTGTGGCAAAAAAAAATACATGCTGCACAGCTCATGATAAAGAGGAAAAAACACAAAAGAATTTGCTTTTTTCCTCCAACTTCTTCATGGTTTGTCTTTGGTTTTCTTTTTTTTTTTTTTTTTTTTTTTTTACATAATCCTTTCTTCCATGTTTTCCTGCTTTAAGTTTACTCACATTTTAATGCAGCTGACAAACCATATGTTTCATACATATAAAACAATATTTCATAGTCTCACATGCTAGTAAAATGTAAAAACTCAATGTGAAAACAAATCTTATGTCTACTAATAATCATTGTTACTGGTTTAGCCTAGATAAAAAAGCCCCTAATGATGGGGGCTAGTGAATTGCTCCAATTTCACAGCCTATGGAGGTTCTCTGGTGGGCTTTCTTTTTGTTGATCTTTTGTTTTAAGAAATATATCATTATATACATTGTCTATTGTCTTCGCTAAAAATAAGACACCAAAAAGTTTCATAAGAATCTTAAAAGGTAGGAAAAGGAATGAACTACTTAGTTTATCCACTTTACCCTGCTTTTTGGAAGTAACATTTTTCTTTCTGGAAGAATCAAAAAGAATTATTGTACTACTCTAATCCACATCCTAGTATAGTTAACACATCCTAGGATGTGTTAATCTGCATCCTAGTATATATGCCATTAATATTCCTGTTTAACTTTCTCGAGCTTGGGTTTTGCAAGGTTACGTTTCATCTTATTCACTAAAATTGGGCAACTGTGAATTGGTCTAACAAAAATCCAGAATGTACCAGATATGAGCTGCAGTCACTTCAGTTTAAATCACATTCAAGCATCGCTGTGTACATATTCTGATACATTAAAATAACTGTCTTAATCTTTACGTGCATTAGGATCAAATCACCCAGTAGACACTAGGAATTTAAACTAGTAAAAATACCTGTGCTCTGCAGGCAGCGGCACCCTTTCCAGCTTCTCTGAGGGAAGCTTTAATTTGTGCTTAGGGCTCCATGGGAGCTCTACTAGCAAAGGTGCCTCGGGGACACACTGAATTTATATCGCCATAACATGCACACGTGTGTGTGCAGGAGGCCACACTAGTCACAGGTACAACAGACAAATCAAATGGTAGGATCCCCCCATCAGCTTTTCTATTATCTGCCCCACTTTGTGCCAATTTCCTCCAGCTTCCCCAACACTACTTGCTTTGCTGTTCTTCCTTAAGACATGGGATGGGGATTTGTCAAAGTCAATGAGCACTTTATTACAGTGAGAGTGCTCAGTAATGAACAATTCAGCAATTTAATGAGATTCTGTAGATCTGTCTCCAGCCTGTCCATCAAGTTTCACTTCTATAAAGCACCCTGACACTAATCCTCTGGCATACCCAATCTTCACCCTGGGCTGCATATTAGATTCTTCCATGGTATACTGCATTACCACTATAACCGTAGCAAAAATGATGAACTTAACTACACTTGAGGCAATATAGCTGGTCTGATTTGATTTTCTTCTATTGGATTGGCTATGAGGGAAATTACTTATTTACAAAGATAAAGCCAAAAAAACGGTTTCTTATTGCCTTCTGAATGCCTAAATTGGTAAATATTTATGTGTGTCTTTTAATTCATTCTGAGGACCTGTAATATTTATAAATACACATTTATTCCTGGTTGTACAGACTGAATTAAAAAGACACATGTACTTTTCGCCTGCAGCAGGAAAGTAGTTTAAAAAAATTTTTGGAACAGCATTAGTAACCTTTAGAGAGGCAATTATGAGAACACTTAAATGGACAGTGTGGAGAGTTTGTTGTCACTCGGAAAGTAGCGTATTACCTACAAGTATCTCTCCTGCAACAGGAACAGAAGCTTTGTCATATCTGCTTCATGAAGTGTTCATTGAGTGGAGTGCACACAATTAAGAAAATTATGTCTGAGTTCTTCCTGTAGGACAAGGCAATGACACAAGTTTTTAAAACTCCTACTTCCCAAACATTGTTTCATCAGTTTACAGAGAGCATATTACTCTGGATAGGCTTGCTCATTACTGAGCTGGCACTAGGTTATACTTGTATCGCTTTCTCCAGCAACTTTCCTGGCAAAAGTATACCCAAGCATATAGCTAGGAGATCTCAGTGACTCTGCAGAGAAATTAGGATAAACCCCAACTGGCAAATCAGCCATGCCTCATATACGAACTTGTACATCAGAACCTTGATAAAGGGATATGAGCTAGAATTCCAGAGTATCGTGCCTGAAAAACCCAAACTAAACCCACCATTATAGTTAGTGTGCTGCAGGTTCTGTTGTACAGACATCCTCCAGAGACTAGGACAGGAAAGAGGGTAACCTTACATTAGTAGTTGCAGAAAATATAATCTTTGTAAAATACACTATGAACTGAAGCCTGAAAGTTTTGAGAACAAATATGCTAGTTACCAGACTGAAGGGTTAAGTTACAGCTACATACTGACTTTGTAGTTTGAAGAGCTCAACTTCACTTTTTTGGGTTTTTTAAGAATAAATATTTTGCTCCTGCATGACATTATTCATCCACAGAACATGAAGTGCCCCACTTCCGGAACTGAACTGCTTCAAATTCACCAGGTGAACACACATTTTACGCTTTGAAAGAAAGATGGCATATAAATGAAATTATTTGCTTAGAATAATCCAAAAGATAAGTAGATAAATAACGGGGATTGAAATACACAGCAGTCCTCTTGGTTGGACCAATATAACCCAGTTCCTAAAAAGAAAGCACAGGTTTCTTTCAAGCAAGTTACATTCTACCTTGAAATACCAAACATTATACTGATTTCCTTCCATTATATCATGAATTGCAATTTGTACAGACATATGATGGGAAAGTTTCCAAGGATAGATCTTGGTTTACCTTTTATGTTTCTCTTTACAAGTTGCATGATTTTTGCATATTAGGTTTCTCTCTCACACACACACACACACATACATACTCTAAAGGTCACAACAATAATGCTTTTATTTTACTAATATTCTACTGCTAGCAAGCTGGCCCTTTTTTAGATCCAGCTTTTTAAAAGCAAATGATCACCATCTCCAGCTTGTTGATGCAAATCTTCCACTGAAGGCTCCACTCACCTCTGAGCAGAGCAGCCTGTGTGATGATTCTCTAATTTGCTTGAGAGAAGTCACCTGTGGTGGCCGAAACAATTTAAATGACAACCGAAGTTACACAGCTAAGTTTGTCTGAAGTGAACAGGGGAGAGTGCAGAAGCAGGTTTGCCACCAGACTTGTGGCACTAGCCACACCAGGAGCAGTGATAACTGAGTTACATGCATCAGCTTTCTCTTCTCACCAACAAACTTGGATCTAGAAGAAAATCTCTGGCCATATCTGAGCAACACAAGCAGCAAGACAAATTTCTCTTTCAAACAAATTAATTGCATTAACACAACACAACATTTTTTGAATTTCATTTAAAGATTTCCCTCAGTTGTTATTCACAGTTTTTGCTCAAGTGCTTATTCTCCCTCGAGATTGCTCCAGGGTTTCAAAACAACAGATTACTGCTATGGTTTATAGAGTATCACGCATTCTGCTTATTCACTAGTCTCCTTACCTGCCAGATTTGTTCTTCACTGAGTGAAGTGAGTCTATCACTTTTAAAAACCTCTCGAAGGAGACAGTATGGGAGTGCCAGGACTTCTTCAGGATGACTCTTCAATAGCTCAGAGAGATGTTTTACTAAGAAGTCAACGACTGCATTCTCCAACAAAGTGAGGTTGAAGAGGTCTGCAAGCTTATACAGGTCCAAGTAATTAAAACTATTTAATTCCTAAAAGGGTGAAGCAAACAAAATAAGTCTCACAAAAAAACCCCAAACAAAGCAGAGAAGAAAAATTCCCACAGGTCTCAAATAATGAAAAAAGGTTATTATTTTGGAGCTGTGGAGAAGGCAGGCAAAATAACTTGAAATTAATTAGCACAGTCTCATTTTAAATGTATATACGTTACCAGTGCAAATATATATGCAAATATATATAATAGTACTAATTTATATAGCAGCTGCTAAGGTTATATATATGCATAAAGCATCTGTAAGAAATATGGATTAGTGCATAATATAATAAACCAGTATGATTTACAGTGTATGACAAGAGCTTGCAGCAGTTAACAAGTGGATTAAAAAAAAAGTATTTGTTAACTACAATGGTTTGTTACAGAGCAATTGTTTATTATTTACAGTTTTGATTGAGCTAGAGCACCTGTGTAGTCCAGCTTCTGGTTCCATGAAACCTCCCAAAATATGAGATGCTGAGCTACATTTTATCACATACAAATTTATCTTCAGTGAGCAAATAAACCTTTTTTTTTTTTCCTACCACTGACATCAACCTATAGTGGATGTTGGCTTCATATACTTTCTGTCTCTCTTTCTAGCAGCACAAAATCCGCAGAGACAAAAGCTACAGTGACTCAGGGCAGGAAGTTTTTTTCCATCCTGGTAGCAGACAACCTGTATCTACAGGCTATGTTTTCAACTTGGCATCCTTCCTAAATTAGTGTCTGGACAGCTAACTACTGCTGTTCTAGAGCATACTGCTGCCTTCAGGGGAGCGGCCAAGAATTCCTCTGTATTAGAGAAAAGTACCCAGGATGTCTCAGCATGTTTACCAATTTTCTCTGTTCTTGCTGTATGCTCACACCTCTCTTCCTCTCTCCTCCACAATCCTGGTTTTCATCTTCCAATTTACCGCATTGCTCCCTATCAGCTTCCTCCTCCTTGACCAGCTCCACATGTGAAACTGACAAGAAGTCTTGTCAGTTTCACTTTGCTGGTTAGTTAACATAGGGACTAGAGCAGGAAAGAGAAACAGACTAAATTAAGTCAATTTCGCTTTCACTGCTCTGCTGGATGGCATGGCAGCACCAAATGAAACTGACAAGAAATCTTGTAAATGTCAAATGAGCTGCGCGGCTGGCAGATAGAGCAGAGCAACAGGGAAGATGGGAAAGTGCGAAGAGAGGGTTTTTTGGAATGTTTTATGGACTACATCTTGAACGTGTGAATTGGGTGGCTGTCCCAATGACTGTGGAGCTGTTTATGCATATGCAATGGAGAGTGGAGAAAGAATTTTTTTCACCTGCTTAGAGGAGTCAGTACTGGAGGAAAGTGAATCTAATTCCTGGGGAGGCTCCTGCTTGTTACACAGTCTCCCAGTCTGTGCACCTTCCCCAGCAGAGTTGTACACCAAAGAGAAATCCTATTCATTATCTACTCCAACTGCTGCATAGGAGGTTCACATTGATTTCTTAAAAGAACAAAGAGAAATTCTTTATGTTGTCAGGCCAGGTCCTAACAGCCAATCATCCCAAAAGCCACAGATATTCTAGTGCCAGTTCCTCTTCACACTACGTAGAGGTGGTAAGGATGAATCTTCCCCAGTTGCAGAAAGAGAAAAGAATGAATTTTATGGGAGAAGTATCAGCTCTGTGTGCTTCCTTGGTGATTTAGTATCTGCTGATAAAAGATGATACGTCACACCACTATTTCTGTGATGGCTATGCAATGGCAGCAGTAACACCTAGGAGTATAATTGAAGTAAATATCACAGCATATAATAAGCAATAACTATGGTTTATTGTCCCTGGTTTGGAAGACTATCTTTCCAAAGAACTCCCCAATTGAATGAATGCCAAACATCCAAAAAGAAGTTTAAAAGAGGTCAGTATACATTTACCGAGCTATCTGTAGTCAACAGCTGCATGTGGGGAGGAGAAAAGTAAACAAATAATTAACCATTGTGATCTGAGGATCAACAGCCCCACTAAAATACAGGCCTGACTGAATCCCACTAAGCGGCAATAGAGGAGAACAGGTGGCTTTTGGTGGACTTCAGAGGCGGACAATACTGGAGGTAGCATATCTTCATTAGAGAAAAACAGTAATGTGACACGCAAATGCAGTCTTCCCCTGAAAAATCTTTGCATTTTCAGCAAAATCTGAAAGACACTGGTAAGCCTTCATTTTTGGTTTGGGTATTTTTTAGAATCCCCCAAACATCCCTATCCCCTCAAATCAACACTAATTGAAGTTTTTTATGAAGCTGTCATACAGTAGAAGAGGCCAAATCTCCTTATGGATGGATAAATAAACTCTCACCAGTTGTTTACAATATTATTTTTATTTATATTTCAGATGCTTACTTATTTATGTCTTTATTTATTTATTATGGGGGTCTATTTGTTTAGTTATTTTCATATATAAGCTTCAGGTGATTTTTGATGTGTTAATTAACATAATGTGTTAGCAACCTGCTGGAATTATGGTTTACTGCTTGGTGAGTATCACAGGTATATTTTGTTAAAACTGGTCTTGACCTGTAACCTGAAACATTCCTTTCTGGTTTTGTGAGGTTAGAGTTGATCTACCTCTATAGAGCTACCTTTGTATTTTCACAGCCAAAGCAGCAAGCAGTGCATTAACTTTTACAAACGAAAATTATCAGACTGTCGTACCGATATTCAAATCTAAATTATAGAGTGCTACACAGTACTGTCTCTGTGATGATACTTGAGGGCAAAAATGTCACACTGAGATTGCACCATGTAGCTCACAGATCAGATGATAACCACACTCTTCATACATGGTACAGCTTTCTGAAACGATAGACTAGAATGCAGTGTGTAAGTTAGTAACAAAAAAAAAAAAAAAAAAAAAAAATTCCTTCCAGGACAATGTTGGAGGCATTTTACCTTCTACTTCTACCTTAAAAAAAATTAAAAAAATCTATCAGGCAGTATCAAAGCAATCACTGTCATCTCAGCCTGATTTGAATAGATTGTCAGACTAAACCCTCAATTGAATTTAAATACTGTTCTAAAAATTAAATAAGTCACTAAATACAAAATTTAGGTGTGCTCATGAGTAAGTGTTCTGGTAGTCTGTTTTCCACAGATTTTATTATATTGTGTTTAAAAGAGCAACTACAAGATTTAAGTTGTGTGCAACTTTCTTCTGGTACTGTATTGCCTTAAAAAGATACAGTACAAACCAGGCTTACGTAAAGTATTGAAACTTGTTTTTATAAACTTTCAAATACATGCCACTTATCTTTTTTGAACTGAAGGATGAAATATGAACACAAGCAGAACTGCCACTAAAAGCTGAAGAGAATTAAGGTAGTGATCCTATCTCTTCTAATGTGATGTACATTACACTGCTGAGACACATTCACACTAAGAAAACACATGTGAGGTTATATATACAGATCTCACAACTTACAGATGAAATAGCTCTAAAGTCTCACAATAAACTCAAAGTAGTTTAATAAATTGGCCAAATTATCAGCGTCTACTTCTAAAATGAGAAAGTATCTTTGATCATAGGCATGCTACTTACTCCACATCCCCCAGCTTCTTCCCCTCTCCCTGAACTAAGAGAATCTATTGTTCTACACTATTGGTCTTCTGATTCAGTAGTATCAATCTCTAGATGCCGATCCAGTTTAACAATGAGCTAACATTTAAAACCTCCATAAAAGAAAATCAATTTTCTGAACAAGAAAAATCTGAAGGATGACAATATTAAATATTGAAAATAAATGACGTGACATTGTCCATATTTTAATGCAGAGATGCATTCTAATATAAAGAGATGATAAACTGACAAATAGGAAAAATAGATATAAACATTGTGTTTAAATTACTTCCAAATCTATCCTTATTCATTTGTACTTTAAAGAATAATTGTCTTGCACAAGCCACAGAAAAGGATGTAACAGATTGATAAATTAGACTTAATCATAACCAAGTACACAGCAGACTACAATATACCTCTATTCCTCTGCTCTGTGTTATTAATAGCAGAAAAAGCACAAGGAGAACTAAGGGGAAAGAATGCATTTCTTTATGACCTTATTTGAAAGATAAACTCCTTGGGGAAATACAATTTATTCAGATTATCAAGACCCTGCTGTGCAAATCTACAGTCTGGGAGCACACTACAGAGATCAAACAATATTTACTTTATTCTGTTGGGTATAAAAGCTTTTAATGAATGCATAATTAAGACAGAAATAGTATATACAGCTTTAGAATTCCACTGCCAAGCCAAGCCATTAATATTTGAAGTATCATACCCAGTTGTAACTCCACCTGCTTCCTATTTAGATTACAACACTATTATAAATCAAGGTATTAAATGACTAGCCCTGCTGCTGTAACAGAGAAGACACTATTTCCTCTTTTCCTAAAATGGGTTCAGCCTCTTTAAAGTAAAAGAGGAAGTGTGAGGTCTCTGTGACAGGGACATGATTATTCAAAATCCTTAAGCAGCACCTAGCACAACAGGGTCTTGGTCCTCCAGGTTCTCTTCTATGTTAAATAATCTGAACCAGCTGCACCATTCAGAAGAGAGCCTTGACATAAATCATAGCAAAGACTATCTAAATAGATAAGTTACTGTGCCAAATGAAAAATTGTAGTGACAACTTTTCCCCTGACAACAAAAGGGATCAGCATAATTTTATGAGAAAAAAAAACTGGTTCTGTTGGTTCTAGCTCTTCCTTTCTATACATAATGATCCAGTTCTGCAAAACCTCACACATTTACATAGGAACTAACAGATCGTTCACATACTCAACAGCACAGCAACAGACATATACAGTTCATACTAAGCATAAGCACAAATCCTTCAAAAGTCGTATTTTAGATCTTACTTGAAATTTGCCTCCACTAAATACCAAAGACTTCCAGTTGAACCATGAAAAGACATTTTGTGGAAGCCTAGTCACAGTAGAACAGCTGGGTCAGAATTTTGCAATGAATAAACCCACGTTTACATTTATTACTAGATCAATGCAGACTGTAGGTGTATTTATAGGCACAGCAAAGAATGTCTTTAAATGACTTACAAAATTAAATTTTTCTGGTAGATCACTGCTTCCTCAATATTTTCTGCGATTCCTGCTTTTGTTTGCTCCTTAAAGCATGGAAAGTTATTTTGCATCCGTGCCATTATTTCAAAGTAGATCTGGGACTAAGTACAAAAGCAACAAATCAAAATATTTCAGCCCTATTACTTTTCCTTCTGCCTTATGATAATGAATTTCTCTTCTCACTTAGTGTTTCCCTGTACCTGCTTAGTTTCCAGGTTCAACCTGCTGGCTGGTGCTAGCAAGCACCCTCTTTGAAGGCATGAAAGAAGCCTGAGACCTTCACAAGCACAGTGGAAAGACATGACATTGTCAGATTGCTCATGTGATGATTCATCTGTGTGGCTTCCAAAAATAAAGTGTAACATGCCATATGCAGATACTCAAATGTAAAACCTAAAAAGTAAACATTTTCTAGAATTTTAGATAGATTAATCTAAGTTATTAAATAGCACAAATATTTTCAAATGGCAATTCAGTTAAGTATTGTAAGTGACCCTGGTTATACACGCCTATTATATATCACATAAATGATTATGTGTGTCATGGAAAGAAATATAATAATGAAACATTAAGAGTATACAGTTAGAAGTTTGAGGGTACTATTGGAACAATCACAGGTAAGGTACAGCAGAATTTTCAATAGCTGCTTTCTCTTGCTAAACAGAGGCTCCTGTGGGAATGCTTTTTAATTTATTTTTTTAAATTTTGTATTATTTTTTTTAACTGCTCCTGGCACAGACACTCCCCAAATGAAAAGCTTCACGTCTCATGGGGCTTCACATCTTGCCAGGTATTCCTGGCGAGATAACTGCAGCTATCAGTATTACTTATCAAATAAAAAGACAGGGATGAAACAGAATATTGAGATCATCTAACCCTTCACCTGGCCTTTTTAATACCATTTCAGACCATTTC